TAAACGCTTCATTTTTTACACTCTTGTAATCAAATCTCAATAAAATTCAAATCAAAATAACACATGAAATGAACGCAAAAATTAATATCTAATAAAAAACAAAACATAATTCAAAGTGAATTTCAAACGATAACTAATGAAAAANTTGCTATTATTATAAACGCTATTATCGTATATGTATTTAATGTGCGCTTAAATAGCAGTGAATTATTAAATGCTTTCAACAATTATAACCAAATAAATGCTATAATCCTATCATTCAGTACTCAATACCGATATTTAAAAACTAAAACTTTGAATAAAACATACAATTTATTTGGTGTTTAAACAGTGAGTGATATTTTTAAAAAACAAAATCATATATTTTACCACATTTTTAATTATTTGTTTAAAAGGCACTGTTTTTTCGTTATAAATACCTAATAATAAGGCATTGATTTTGTATTGAAAACAATATTATAAATAATAATAAACCATTGATTCACTCATTAATAACCAATTCATTCAACCAAAAGGTGTGTCAAAAATAAAAGTTTTAAAAATTAACTATAATTTGTTTTATATGATTAAAACTTATTTATACATTTAATTAATGGTAAAAATCACCATAATATGAGCCCATTAAATGTGCCCTGACTAAATTAACCAGAATATTTAATTAATTGAATTTTATTTTTCATTAGTTATCGTTTGAAATTCACTTTGAATTATGTTTTGTTTTTTATTAGATATTAATTTTTGCGTTCATTTCATGTGTTATTTTGATTTGAATTTTATTGAGATTTGATTACAAGAGTGTAAAAAATGAAGCGTTTAATACTGAAGGAGAAATTAATTCACTTTTCCTTAATATAATACAAATAACTAACGATTAAAACAAAAATAAAAACTCATTAATCAATTGATTACTTCTTTTCCTCAATAGATATCAAATTGAATTGATTTCAAAAACTCACTCAAGACTGAAGAAAAACTAATTTGTAATTTTCACTAAAAATTAGTTATTAATTACAAAAATTTATTAAATAATTAATATAAACGACTAAATAATTGGTCTAATAATACGCGCAGTGTTTTCACTACTGATTTCAATAATAATAATACATTTCATTTAAAACAAACTAATAATTTAAAGACATTTGCGCTGATATTGACGTATAGACACATATATTCATCAATAACTTAATTGTTATTAAATGATAATTTTATGGCCATCTGATGGTCTGATTGAATGGCAATAGCATCGCAAGTCTCACCACAAATGTCGATAAATTTAGTAATACCTCCGCCGACCTCACGGGTTGTCAAAGAGGGCTGGCTTTACAAGAGAGGTATTTATTGATTACTTGATTGTTACCATATTTATGGTGTTATTGACTAATAGGCGAACACATCAAGAACTGGAGGCCTCGCTATTTCATATTGTTCGAAGACGGGTCGCTAATTGGGTTCAAGTCGAACCCCGATGGTGTCTATACGGATCCGTTGAACAACTTCACAGTCAGGGGCTGTCAGATCATGAAAACGGATCGCCCGAAGGCCTTCACGTTCATCATTAGAGGCCTTCAGTGGACGACAGTTATTGAGCGCATGTTTCACGTGGACAACGATAAGGACCGCAACGAATGGTGCGAAGCCATCACTCTTGTGGCCGGACGGCTGTCCGTCGAAGAGGAGGGCGACGTCGAAATGGTTGACGCGAATCGAGCCCAAGACGAGTACAGGAATCGGTTGCACATTACGACCAAACCTTCTTCCAGAGGCCGCAGAATTGTATGCGATTTTGTTGTTATTTTCCACTCAAATATTAATGGTTTACAAAATATGCTAAAAATGTGTGTTTTGTTTGTTTTGAACAGACGTTAGAAGACTTTGAATTCCTGAAAGTGTTAGGAAAGGGAACGTTTGGTAAAGTGATTCTGTGTCGAGAGAAGGGAACCGGTCTTCTGTACGCCATTAAAGTGCTCAAAAAGGAGACAATTATCGCCAAAGAGGAAGTGGTCCACACGCTCACCGAGAATCGCGTCCTCCGCAACACAAAGCATCCGTTCCTTATTGTAAATATCATTCAAAGATCTCATTCTTTGTCATTGAAAGTAAACTAATGAATTATCTCATCGGCGGTGCGGCTCAGGCGCTGAAGTACTCGTTCCAAACGGGCGATCGGTTCTGTTTTGTGATGGAGTACGTGAACGGCGGCGAACTGTTCTTCCATTTGTCGCGGGAGAGGATCTTCACCGAAGAGCGGATAAGAGGAGGGCGACGTCGAAATGGTTGACGCGAATCGAGCCCAAGACGAGTACAGGAATCGGTTGCACATTACGACCAAACCTTCTTCCAGAGGCCGCAGAATTGTATGCGATTTTGTTGTTATTTTTCACTCAAATATTAACGCTTTACAAAATATGCTAAAAATGTGTGTTTTGTTTGTTTTGAACAGACGTTAGAAGACTTTGAATTCCTGAAAGTGTTAGGAAAGGGAACGTTTGGTAAAGTGATTCTGTGTCGCGAGAAGGGAACCGGTCTTCTCTACGCCATTAAAGTGCTCAAAAAGGAGACAATTATCGCCAAAGAGGAAGTGGTCCACACGCTCACCGAGAATCGCGTCCTCCGCAACACAAAGCATCCGTTCCTTATCGTAAATATCATCACAGATCTCATTCTTTGTCATGAAGTAAACTAATGTATTATCTCATCGGTGGTGCGGCTCAGGCGCTGAAGTACTCGTTCCAAACGGGCGATCGGTTCTGTTTTGTGATGGAGTACGTGAACGGCGGCGAACTGTTCTTCCATTTGTCGCGGGAGAGGATCTTCACCGAAGAGCGGACCCGTTTCTACGGCGCACAGATACTGCTGGCCCTCGAGTACCTCCACCAGAGAGGTGTCATATATCGTGACCTTAAGGTTTGTGTTGTTTTTCTAATGGAAAAGTTTATTTCATTCAAAGAGTAGTTTGTTTTTCATTTAATTAAAACGCGTTTCCGTCGAAAATATATAGGTTTTGTTTTTGTCTCTTTCAATGTCTCAATAGTATACTGAAAAAAGTGTTTTTTACAAATATTAATTTACTTTAAATTAGTATTTATTATTTTTTGTCGTCAATTCAATCTGTTTTTTGCCATTGAATTGAAATCTAATATTTTATTCATAAATGTATTTTACAAATTATTACTATTACTATTCAACTATTTAAATACTATTTGATTAACTGTTTTTTCCATTCATTAGTCAATATTATTGATTCAAAAATTAATGAGAAAAAAGTCATGAATGAAAGTGTTGTTTGTTTGATTTGCAGCACCTTTTTATATAACGATTGTTTATTTATCGATCAATAGCTGGAAAACCTATTATTGGATTCGTCGGGTAATATCAAAATCGCTGACTTCGGTCTCTGCAAAGAGAACATCACATTCGGGTCGACCACCAAAACATTTTGCGGTACTCCAGAGTATTTGGCGCCCGAAGTACTCGAAGACACCGATTATGGACGAGCCGTAAGTCACACAATGTGTGCCTCACTTTTGTTGATTTGCTAAACACATGAATGTTTTGGGAACCGATAGGTCGACTGGTGGGGACTCGGAGTAGTGATGTATGAGATGATGTGCGGACGCCTTCCATTCTATAATCACGACCACGAGATCCTCTTTGAGCTGATTCTTGTCGAAGAAGTGAAATTTCCGAAGACATTATCGGCCGAAGCGAAAAATCTATTACAGGGATTGCTAGTGAAGGACCCGCAGAGGAGACTCGGCGGCGGTGCCGAAGACGCCAAGGAAATAATGTTTCACCCGTTCTTCAGAGGAATTCAATGGCAAGAAATGCTTGAGAAGAAGGTATGGAAGTGTAACCCTATATATAAGCAGTAAATGTAATCTGTTGTGCGATCTGTGTATTTCAGGTGACGCCGCCATTCAAGCCTCAGGTGACCAGTGATACGGACACGCGTTACTTCGACCAGGACTTCACGGGCGAGTCTGTCCAACTGACTCCACCCGAACAGACAACACTCAACTCCATCAATGAGGAGACAGAACAGCCATATTTCCAACAGTTCTCCTTTCATGGAAGCGCCACCGCTTTGGCCCAAAGCATCGACCAGTGATTTCTATAATATAGTGCTCTCTCTTTCTCTCTCACTCTTTCAACACTATAATGGCCTCAACAACCGACTCAATAATTGCTACAAATTTATCGATACATATAATATACATATAGTTTTCCTCTATATTTGGTTTTTAATTATATATTTTTCGTGTAAATAATCTCTTTTCTATGGAAAACAAAATCATAACAAACAAACAAAACGGATAAATGTGTTCAGAAATTGTCACCAAAAACAACACAAAAACAAAAGTTTATTGAAGAGGAATGGCATTCCATATCAACACAGGAGACAATTGGATGAAATGCCTGCCCCTCTCGTAGACCACCACTAATACTAATAATATTAATAATAATCTACTCTATTCTCATATGTGGTGTCTTTTTGTGTTATCACAAACTCATTCCAATGCGAACTCGTATTTAATATTATATATATTTGTCTACAAAAACAACTTCTTATCATTTTATTTGTTATAATAATAACAATTATTATCCATTGAAATGAAATGACGTTTTCATTTCGGATTTGTTGGCGACAGAGAGACAGAAAAATAGTGTTTGTGTTTTACGCCATAAACTCGCTGTTGATTACATATAAACACAGTATATATGAGAGTCAATAAAAAAGCAGATTTCAAGAGAAGTTTGTTTTTAAAGGCATACGTCATGTAAAAGCCTATACAACATATGTATTGTCGGAGAGTTTATTTTTTATGTTAAATCAATTATTATATGATATATACCGGTAATTGTGTCTCTGTTTTGCCAAAGAGAGACACAAAACACAACTAAAATGACAAGAAAAACAGTGCAACTCTTTAGAGAGCGAAATGAAATGCATGTCAATATATAGCATAGTATGTGTGCAATGATTGCGTCAATAATTGCGTTCAAAACTTGTTGTTTGTCTGCTCTCTTAAAACACCTGAATTCACAGAACAAACACATAACACATACCTTACTATACAAATCAGAAGGGAATAGGAATTGGTTTCTTGTTTTTCTAAATCCCAAACAAAATCTGATGTTTTAATGTTATATATAAGGTGTCAAACATTTTGTGTTTTATGTTTTTCCCCACTTTTTATATACCGTTTGATTTGTTTTTCTCCTCTCGTTTTGCAGACCTTTTTTGTCACTAATATTACAAAACAAATGTTTTTTATATTATATTTAATTGAATACAAGTTTTACTGTTTTTTGTACGTTTAGTTTGTGTTAACTTATTAACAATGAATTGAGTTATTTATTTTGCGAATCATAATACCTGTATAGTGTTTGGCAATTGATTAGTACTGAAAGTACTGTATATGTAATTGTCATTCAATTGATTTGATTTATTGTATCAGAAAAACGTTTGGTTTAATTGAAAAAAGCAAAAAACATTTTGTTATTTCAAATCACAGATAAAACTATTAATATGTTTACGAAAAATAGCGGTTGAGATAGCGGTTACAGTGAAGTGAATTTTATGTCCGTTTGTTAGCATTTAATACATGTTTATCATTGAATGAATAGCATTGATCCGATTGTTTGGCATTTGTCTCAACACATAATATAAATATATTATATTTTGTAATTATATTTCACTAATTATTTGCTCAATAAGTGTTATTTCATTTGCAATCTCTCAGATTCTTGTATTGTATTCATATTAATGCAAACACAGAATATTGTCATGTATTTGCATTCTTTCTCTCTCTCTCTCTCTCGCATTCTATGCATAACTTCTTTTATTTTGTCCGAAGAAAACATAAGTCAAGAAAACAAATGATTGATTCAATTGATTAGTCTCTTAGCCATGAATTTTTTAGATACAAATAACAAGTGATTGAAATTAATTTTTCTCTGTTATAAAAATTGTTGAAATGAATAATGATTTTTAAACAGAAGTTAAATAATTTTAGACGAAACAAAACTAAAACACAAACTAAACTACTATTTGAGTGATTGATTTCAAACCATTATGAAAAACAAAACTTCCGGTGTTTTAAATGACCAAAAAATTGAATGAATGAACGAATGATACAAAATGTGTATAGAATTTGTATAAATATGAATGAAAAGCGAGTGATCCGTAAATTGTTGGGCTTATGTTATGTAAGTGTTTGACTGAATTGAATACATGTATTTGTTTGTATGCATTCCCCCATCAATTCACACCAACATATAGTTATTGTAATTTTAATTGTTATTTCAGAAAAAGCAAAACTAATTATAATACGAAAGTTAAATGTTTTTAAGGGAACCCGAGTTAAGCCATCGATTGATTTT